CCATGACTTAAGCTGTTATAGAAAAATAATAAGTCACGTACATCCCATACAGTTTTTTTCAGAAGCAAGTTTTCTAATGCTTATAGAAAAGTACAATTGGCCAATACTAAATACAACCTCTACATAAAATGGCAGTTACTATAATAAGCAACACCCACATTCATATTGTAAAATAAACAATTTAATATTTTACATAGAATAAATCAGTAAAAAATTTGACCCACCTCATTTTTTGTTTGCATTTATAAAAGCTTTCATCCATGATAATTACAAACAAATTTCTAATGTGTTAGTTAAAAAAAATAAAGAGTGAAAATTTTAAATTAACAATGATTCCCAAACCATTTAATGTCTGTTTGATAATTGTATCAATTTCCAACTAACCAGTTTTAATTATTTTATTCTTTTTAATTAATGTATAGAACACAAAAAATTTTCTCAAGTCAAAATTTAAAATAAATTTCAAGTGGATAATGTACTTTGTTTTGTAAGATGTTTCTTTGCTTTTAAAGGTACTTGTCTTGTTTTATAACCTTAGTATGAGATTTATTTGGTGAAATGATGCATTTATAAAATGATTATAAATTTGCTCCAAATCACATAATGCATTAATTTTTTAAATATCAGTAAACTTAAAGCTTTGATCTTTTTAAGTTGTTTTAATGGTATACTCTTTTATGAGTAGATTTTGTTTCTGTTATGGCACAGATGAACCCCAGTCTTCAGATGTATTTTTTAGATCCTCTCATTCAGCTAAAAACAATCCAGCAGGTAAGATATATATATTTCATAGCTCAAAAGTTTTGTTGGTGACAGTTTGTTAACTTTGTATTGTGCATGCTGTGTGTTTTCTTTTTTATGTGCACTGATTTTACACATTTTCAGGCTTAAATGTATCAATATTACCTATAATCTTTCTTATTTTTATTGAAAGTTAAAAATACCTTGTGAGGTATATATATTTGAATTGTGTAAATCACTAGTAATATAATGATCTCTGATATAATGTATTTGCATTCACATTGAATGAAAACACAAATATTGAATTTCATTAATTTTCTAACAAACGTGCTCTTCACATTAACTGTGAAGTTAGGATAAGCAAACATTCATTAAAGATTTTGTAGTCAAAACTTCATTCTTTAGAGAAAAAACAGGAAAACCAGAGTAAACAATTTGTGTATAAACTAAGAAAACATAGGGTAACTTTCAGTATTTATATCTGTTTTAGATCTTTGAATTTCAACAAAATCAACAAATGAGATTAATGAAGTTTTGGCGAGATCAGGTGAGTGTGTGTGTGTGTGTTTTCTTATAGCAAAGCCACATCAGGTTATTTGCTGTATCCACCAATGAGAATCAAACCTCCGATTTTAGCATTATACATCCAAAGACTTACTTCTGTCCCAGCAGGGGATGAGATCAGGTGAGATCAAGTAATTCAAAGTAATGCAATCAAATAGAAAAAACTTGTATTTCAAGGTTACATAATCTGAGTAAAAACAATGGTCAGTGTATGATTTAGTAGTTTATATAGATAGTTTGGTAATATAGGTGTTGTGTTCAGATACATTGACATCGATCGGGATAGTCCCAAGTATCAGCAAAAGCTGGTTCCAGATATGATATTCAGAGAATAAAATGAACACAGATAGCAAAAAATGAAACAAATGTGAACAAATGAAACAGACCTTTATTCACAAATAGTGTTTCTTTATCTACTGGCCAACTTATAATTATATTGTAAGAACAGTTCTACTGGCTGCTGGGGCAAAAAGGATTCAGAAGTCTACATGAGACAAAGACAGTTTAAAAAGAAAATGTGGAATATTTATATGATTAAACATCCTATTTTTAAGCCACACTGGATCCTAGAGTAGTATCCAAATATCCATAGATTACCTACATCAGTGTTCATTCAAAATAAATGCATTTAAGAGAGATAAACTTGAACTTACGCTAAAAAGTCTATGTACTACCCATTGGAATGTGTGTGACTACTGTAGGAGGCCATGACACAGAAACAGGGCCAAGTAATTAGTGTAGTGATATGTAATATTTATCTAAACACTAGAATTAGTGTACACTTATGACCTTGTGATATTTTCAGTTAACCCTCTCACCAGGAGTAGGTCAAAGTGCACATGTCATGACCTTTTACAGATTCGCATTCATAATTTAATTAAACTACATTATTATCATTGTATATGAATAAACTTGGCATCAAAACTTAGTTAATGAATCAAAATTTAATATTTTATAAGTTTTAGGTTCTGGATTTTGTGAGGAAATATTTTTGAAATCCTGAAGCTCCTATAGTATGATAATTGTTATATTTGTTCTATAGGTCTTTTCCCTTCTCTAATTTACTTACCCCCCTTTTCTAAAGTATGGAATTTGATGTAAATTACTCATTATAACACAAACATTATTAAGGGAAAGCATATTTTTATAGCCTTCAATTTTTTTTTACATAGCCATAAACCAGGAAATCGGTTCCACTACCACGCCCATCTGTCACATCCTCTCTTTCACAAATTGCCAATAAGTCTCTAATTATGCTATATTATTTATAACCAATAGAAAGATGAAGTTTTAATCTATCAAATAACGTATTGCATTATTTTCAGTACAGGGTATTGTCTATTTCATCTTCAGTTTGAAAGTCTCTATTGTGGTGCTCAGATTGAGTAGCTTTGGGCAATTATTTAATGGCTCTTATGCCAGTTAAATCATGAGAGTTGTAGGACATTGTTTCTTTGTGTGTGTGTAATTGTTCTGTGTTCTTAAATGCATTATTTAAGTAAATAAATATGATTTAGTGTACTAGTACCATTATTATAAAAAAAGTAGGCTTAAATTTCATCAGCAACCAATAGCAAAAAAGCGGTCAAATATACGTTCTACATTTGTTTTTCACATGTATTCTTTATTTATCATTATAAAAGTTATTAAAATGTAAAATTTAGAAACTTATTGGATTAGATAAGGGTAGATTAGATTAGATAATGAAAAAAAAAATTCTTTACAGATCATGCATTACATCATTCAATAGTGTATCGTGAGCTACACATTTGAGTGAGTTACAACTTGTGTGGCAGGATTATTAGTCAGACATGTTTCAAAGGGCAATGAAACAATAAAGTTAAGTATAAAATGTTGTAGACAGTTATGAGCTTTAAGCTGTTTAGGACAGACAAGTATAGTTTCCTGTTACAATCTGCAGTCATTTTAGAAAGAAAAAAGGGTAATTTAGATTTATTTCATACTTTTTATGGTGGTTATAAAGCTGGTCAAATCTACCAGGTCCATTTAAAGATTTACTAAATAATAATTTTAATATTTATTTAGGAGGTTTTAGATATTATGCAAGGGAAATTTTAAAATTTTCAGATGAAGAAAGGTATTTTTAATATTAATGTGAAAATTGCTTTATACTCAGAGCAGTCATTGCTGACTATATATATTCACAGTAAAATACATCATTAAGAACTCTGATATTTTGTGTGCAAAAGAGTTTTAATGCTTATTGAAAGCTTGTGAAATTTCGTGAATCTACATAAAACATATTAATAGTTATAGTATGGAAACTGATGATTGCTTTGTTGTTACATGATTAGTGACATCGACTGATCCTGTATGGAAAGAGTTAAAACTGATTTCCGCAAAAGTATAAGATAGATTTGTTAAGAACAGTAGTGTTGACCAGGAAATTGATGGATTAATCTGTATTTGGAAACTTTACTGAGTTTTGTAGTATATAAAATAATGAGAGAGAACAAATTATGAATAAAATAATGTGTAGTATAACTGAACAAAAAGAAAATTCAGCATGCTTACTTGTGCAGACAATAATACATTGCTTCTATAAGATAGATGTACAGGTCATCAGTTTTTTGTCTCTAAAGATGAATTTTTGGCAAACAGGTAGAACTGAGAAAAAATAGTTCCTTCAATTTAAAAAAAACCTTGTATTATTTTTCCTGTGAAGGTATTGGTACATGATAGTGGTTCTCTCGCAGCATTAGCCATCTGTAACATACAGACATCATCTTGTTGGCCAACAAAGGATGTTACAGTCATTCTAATACTTAAATGAAGTAGACCACAACATCCCCTCAGGCAAAGGGGATATATCTGATATAGAGCACAAAGAAACAAAGCAAGTATGACAAGGCAACTTCATTGGTTTTCTGAACCATGTGTTTATGCTAAAACTGCATAAAAACTAGATAAATGAAAATTTTTAAAAATCCTTTATTAATGAGAACAGTAGAAAACATATGCCTGTATATCACAAAATTCTCATCTACAGTTTACAAGGATGTCATAAGTACATGCAGAACTCTTGTAGGATACTTGTATAGACCATGATAGAAAATATGTTTTTACTACTTAGGAAGGGTAAAATATGACAATATTTACTATCAGTACATAGGATTACAATTTACTTTATAGTTGAGGATTAAAAACACTTGCAAAATATTTAGTAACCTAAATTTCTTCTGTAACTCAGGATTACAAACATTTAGGCTATATTGTAGCCTATGACTTTAAACATTTAACTTTTGTTCAAATGCAAAATGACATTGAAGCATTGATATGTTTTGGTAATATGAAATTGCATATGACTCCAAAATTTATACATTTTTATAATTCAGAACCAGACACATTAGATATTAATGTGAATTAGAAATCTAAATAACAAGTGGAAACATACATAACTATACAGCTGATCATATTATTATAAATTTAAAAAAGGAAGAATTCACATTCACTGTAGATCTATGAATATTAAAATATAAGTCGAATGGCTGAAAAGTCTGTGGTGAATACAATACTAATGATAATGTTAGAAATCACAGATATCAGAGACGTGATTTTAACCCTCACCACTCAAGCTAATTTCACAGTTATGACAATTCCTTCACCTTGTCCTTGAGTGGGGTGAAGGGGAACAGAAACTGTTTCCAAGCACCCCAGGTTGTCTTCCAAAAGAAGACTTTAACCAAAATAACTACTATAATTTTAGGATTCCGAATACTAATGAAACATTAGGATCACAATTATAAACAAGAAAAGCATTAAAGATTAACTTAAAGAATATGCATGTTATTATAGTAATTTATTAACAAGTTAAAGTAATTCAGGAACGCTATTGTGCTTGGGGTTAGTTCATTAAGCTGTTCATAGTATTGTAATAGATAGGGTTTCTATCATTAGGGAGGGGTCTTCTTAATATTTGGTAAAAATAATGCAAATTCTGATAGAATACCTTACCTCTTCTCATTCATTGCTGCCCTCTATATGCAAAATGTTTGCTTGCCACTAGCCTTGATACTCTTACCTACTCCACATGTTTACTTGTGGTACAGCTGCACTGTAGCATGAAAACAAGCATGCGACAGCCCTCCACCAATAAGAGTATGCCACACCTTCCTGGCACAGCTAACTCCCTTTATACTGTAGAACGTAATCTTCACTTCTCGATTTGGCATACTAGAGTGCACACAACTCTAGTTTTTGCCCATGTTTGCTTTGATTTGCAAAGATTTTGTGGAGAATCTATTTTTGTTGTTTCCAGTTATTAATTCTTCTTCTCTACATTACCTTGAAACTGTAGATTCAACTAAACTAAACTAATTAAACTAAAAAAGAACTAAAAATTCCCCCTCTCAATTTGAATTATAAATTCACAATTTCAAGTTACAGCAACTACTACTGTTGTTACTACTGCCACTTAATCCTGCAGTGTCTCAGGCTTAGGCTCCACTCTCTCTGCTGAAGACGTTTTGGTCTTAGTTTGCCATGATTTGGTGTCAATAGTGTGGCCTGCTGTGTCTCATGATCCAAGACCAGACATACCATTTCCTGGAGAACCTGTTCAGGATGATGAGGATTTGGATAGCCTATTCCTACCTTCTTCCTTTATTTTGCAATCCTGAGTGACAATTGTAGACACTCCCAGACCTTCTTTTGCCTTCCTCAATATGGTATTTGTATCCTTTTGTCTGTATCCCCTGTATCTTATGATTCTTCTCTTTCCCTCTTGCATGCTGCCTCTTGCTTGGATTATTTTGTTTTTCTGCCCTCTTCAAATATCAGGGTCCATGCTGATCAGTTTACAGCACAATTATGTTCTGGAATTAGCATATCTCATCCCCCCTTGTGCCTCTTATTCCTATGTGTTGGCATATCATCATTTGGAATTGCCATTTCTAGACTCTCATAACCTAGAGTCTTTGACTCAGGTGTGGGTATCTAACCCTGATACTACTGTGAGATTTT